AACAGATTTTCAAGGGCAATAAATTTCATTGTCTATTACCTATACAAAAGAAGAGCAAAACTTCTGAGATAATATGCATTGCAACATTTCTGCCAAGAGACATTTTCTATTCTAGCACAAATATCCAACAACAGCAGATGGATCTAAATGAAAAGGCAACAGCTAATTAAGTAAGTTGCTTTTCTTATCAGGTGAGCATTGTAGATCTGGACAATTTTATGTTCTCCATTACCATTTTTTTAAAAAACAGTATAAATTATGAATCAGGAAATCTTCCAAAGCAACAAGCAAATAAGCCTACTGCTGGAAAACAGCAAACAAGCTGGCCTATTTACTAGTCCAGGTTGAAATGCACATACTTCAACTAGGTCTAGGGAAAAAGAGATTATTCACTTTTCTTCGCTGACACAATGCAGACTAATTCTGGTATTACATTATTTATGCATGCATCCTTAAGACCTTGATAAATGCAAGGAAATCTATCTTAAGAATGGCTACAAGCATCTGTTTTACTGCAAAGACATGTGCTTGACGGACCAGCTTTTGGTGTTTTGCCAGTTAATATTTCTTTGCTGCAAAGGAGCAGTCCTTGCAACTTTTCAAATACAATTTTTAATTTTCCGATAATCATGTTACTGCTGAGAGATAAAGCAGACAATAAGACTGAAATTATAACACACACACAGGCATTACAGTGAATTAACAAACACACATTTGTTATAATTCCAGGGTAATTTAATAGTTTCGCCCAGGGTTAATACTTCAAGATTTGCTATTAGCCTGTCTCTGAATTTTAATCCATAGCCTACCTCTATTACATTTGAAACTTTCCAGATGCTGATTGGTAGGGATTGCATTTTTAAAGCTGACGTTTATATATTCTTTCGACACCTGAAGACACATGTATTTACATGCTTATAGGCTTCAAGTTACTCACATGCCTATTTTCTGACAAAGGTATGGTCTTGGCCTCCTGGCTTTTAAGGAGAGATAATACTGAAACAGAATAGATTAGTCTGCCAGCATAAGCTGCAGAACACTATGAAATCTAGTGACAAAAATGAGAACAAATCCAAGCCTTTCTGGCTGTCTTAGATCAAAACCTTTGGACTCTGGTCAGTGGCTGCTTCACATGCCAGGAAAGCAGTAGCTAAGTTCACACATATGATGGTTTGTAAAATGTATTTGAGAAGGAAAACATAAATAGTAAAAGAGAGAGAGAGAGAGAAAAGCAGCAGAAACAAAAAGTCTGTCGGAGTCTGTCCATCTGTGAAAATATTTTCAGGGAAAGGGTACTTCTGAGTTGAGAAAGACCAGAATACAATTTTATATCGGTAAAGAGTTCCTATGACCATTATTCCAGTGGTACAGAAAGATGCCTTTTTGGTCCCTTATAGACTCTTGTAGTGTCCTGGTGCTGTTTTCTGTTACTTAAGGGAATTAGCAATTTTGTTGAATATGCAGTGATCAGAAAGTCCCGGCAACAAAAACAAGAAACAAGAAAAATGGGCCAGTGATTTGGCAAGTGTAGCCAAACAGATCTTTCAAAGAGGAAATCGGATGTTCCATGCACACAGTCTGAGGCTCCAGGCAAATACTATGTCCTCAGGACTCAATAGCCTTTATTAAGGCAATAATAAAGTAAGCCTTGTTTTGACACTGCAGCTGGTGAAATCTCTTCAAGTTGCCATCCTCCAAAATTCTCTCTCCACCACTTCCCTTTAGTATTTGAGATGACCTGGAAATAACCCTGCTATGAGCAACAGGACTGCATATTAAAGGTCAAACTGAATATGAAATCCAATTGGTTCCAGCTATTTATAAATTACCATAATAAGAAATATTTTTCATTATGCTGTAATTTGCAATCTTGCATGTGGATCGGAAAGAAGGGGATTTATTATAGCCCATATTCCAAACCTTAAAAGATAATAATTTTGGTGTGTGCATATATAAGTATTTGTTTTTAAAGAGTTAGATCCAGATTTAGTTAAGCTTAGAGCAAACCCATCAAAATCAATTGAACTTAAGTTAGTAATGTCTAACCAAATCTCACTGATTTCAATGGCTTATTCTAAACATTTTGAACTCTCTGCCCAACATATAAATGTACAGTTCATATGACTGGAATCTGCACAGGCAAATATGTCACTTACTTTCTGACTCATTTTAGTTATTTAAAATATTTATATCTGCCTTTCTGCCTGGCAGGAGGCCTCCAAAGCAGTTGAAACTATGGAAGAATGAATATATAACAGCACAGCACATAATAAGATTCTTTTTTAGAGGCAGTGGAAAATTGCACACACTTTTAGGGGGTGATAATGGACATTATCCATCACCAAGCGGTAGATATCACTGCTGATATTGCTGTTTCAAAAGAAATGGGAAGGGTTGCTATTTCCCCCATAATGTCTCTTAAGAACATAAAAACAGCCCTAATGGATCAGGCCAGTGGCCCATCTAGCTCAGCATCCTGTTTTCAAAGTGGTCAACCAGCTGCCCATAGGATGCCAACAAGCAGGACCCGACTGAAAGAGCACTCTCTCCTTCTGCTGTTTCCAGCAGCTGGTATTCAGAGGCATAAAGCCTCCAATTGTGGAGCCCACCCATCATGGTTAGTAGCCACTGACAGCCTTATCCTCCATGCATTTGTCTAACCCTCGTTGAAAGCCAATCAGGTGGCCATCGCTGCCTCTTGTGAGAGCTAATTCCATAGTTTAACTATGCGCTGCATTCATTTGTCTGTCCCAAATCTTCCAACATTCAGCTTCAGTGGATCTCTACAAGTTCTAAGGTTATGAGAGAGGGATGAAAACAAAACCAAAACTTTTCTCTGTCTACTTTCTCCATGCCATGCATAATTTTATATACTCATCTCTTGCCCTTTCTCTAAACTAAAAGCCCCAAATGCTGTAACCTTTCCTTGTAGAAGTGTTGATGCTATGTCATGAAAGCATTAGGTGATTTCAGTGGGGTTGCTATCAGCATGAGGGAGCCAGGTATGTATGTGAGAATGAGGTTTGTCCCCTGCCTTTGAAATTCACACCACCACGGAAATGCAAAAGATGTAAGGAAATTTCATTCCCTTTTGTTTTGACAAAATTTGGACCAGCACCAGAAGATCAGCCCGTTCCTGGTCTGTTTACATGCATGTTTTGGATCTTGTCACCTGGGAGTAGCCATTATTACATCAGGCTGCAGCAGAAAATGGAAGAGAAGGGAATGAAGCCTACTCCGCTGGTATAGCAACTTTGGGTGCTTCCGCTCCGGTTCCTTTCCCACCCTAGCTGGTCATTAAAAGAACTTGTATCTAAGATACTGTATTGTTCATGGGTTTGCTTATTTCATTCTCCCTCCCAATCCATTTTCCTTTTGTGTTGTGTCCTTTTAAGTTCCTGACCTAACAGCAGCTAGGCCATATTGTGTCACACACTAGTCTTGTTGTAAATACAGACTACAGTGTGAAATATCCATTAATCCAAGAACCAACTGAGCTAGCAGCAGAAGGGGTGACTGAAATGCCCTGTCATCATTGCCATCTTCAGCTGCTGTTATTTTATTGGCTGGGGCATGGGCCCTCCTCCACTTACAGAGGCTGTTAGAACCAAGTGCTCTGTGAACATGGTACCAGTAAGACAAGCTGGCACCATGCTTGCTACCTTCTCTGGACTCTGGCTATATCAAGACCACATATTTCAAAATACATGGTAGAAAATTCAGAGACTGGTTGTTGTTAATAATAGTTACTTTATTTCCTCTTAGTTGCTTGTTTGTGGATGGGAGGAAGGGAGATGTAAGACAGCTTTTGCTGTAAGAGCTGTATTTTGGCATAGGGTAGTCACAGAGATAAGAAAATGGAGGAAAAGAACCATTGTGCACAACCTACAGTTAGTTAAAAGAATTTGCTATTTCTTATTTATCTGCCTTAATTCCCCTAAAGTAGCCAAACAATAGGTAGATTGTAAACCCTTTGGAGAAAGAAATGGGCAGCGAAGAAGCTTCTCTAATATTCCGTGAAGAGTATATAATAAAAAAATGTATATAATAAAGTATTACTTACAATATGAGCTCATTTCTCCCATCTGAGCACTTTGTGGGCAAATCTTTTTACCATGCCTTGGAACAGATAAAGGTGCTTCATAGGTACCTCCAATTGGCCACCATCACCTAAACTACTGCTCAGTTTTGCATATTTACATCCCATTAAAAGCAATGTAATTCAAGTTTCTCTAATTAGATACAGAGGGGGGAAATCCTGCATTAATGGAATTACCGCTTAATAATATTCCCTGTTGCTTATATTTATATAAAAGATGAAGCTGACTTTGTTCATTTGACTTTGCTTATACTATCCTACAGGATAAGCAGTGTCAACATTTTCTTTCTTTTTATATAAAAAAGCTTATTTTTAAAATTATTTGCCACCTTTCCCACCTTTCTTGAAGCATTTATAGATTATACTAAGTTGCACTAGTGGAGAGATAATGGGAAATGAAAACAAGCAGATGCAATTTTGCTACCTACATAATTAATTGCAAACATCATAGTTCAGCTGTACATAGTCTAAAGCTGCCAAAATCTGTAGTCTTTGTGCTGCTGTTATTCTACTGTTGCAGGTCAGAAAACAGAAAACAGCTGTTCAATATCTGAGGATTTTGCTAAATAATGCAAGACTGAACAAACAATGGGTTATTCTGAAGCAGTGTCAGAAAAAAAAGAACTAGATGGGGAAATCATTATTTTCAAAATCCTGTTTTTATGGATTAATGGTGCATGCTATGGCATGAGTCACTTGGGGGCGGGAGTTGCTTAGTTAATAGTATAAGACGCGCACTGCTATTTTTTCCTGTAGAATCCCTTCACACATTTTTCTACAAGGGATATACAAAAGATTGACCATTAATCATCTTAATATATTATTGAGAGTATAACAAATTTTATAAGATTCAGGTAGGTAGCCGTGTTGGTCTGACGCAGTAGAAATATATGTATATAAATGTCCAGTAGCACCTTAGAGACCAACTAAGTTTGTTCTTGGTATGAGCTTTCATATCTGAAGAAGTGTGCATGTACACAAAAGCTCATACCAAGAACAAACTTAGTTGGTCTCTAAGGTGCTACTGGACAATTTTATATATATATGTTTATATATTTCTAAATTTTATAAGGTTGTACACATTTCCCAAGTAATATCACAGACAGTTGTTAGTAACATATACCAAAGATTACATTCAAAAAGATATTTTGCTTAGATAATGCTTGGCATCTTCCACAATAGTGTCTTGCACATTTGTAATTCCATCACATACCCAAAATATGATTTACTCTTCACTGATCATTTTACTAGTGCTTTTAGCGTGCTTCTAATGCTACTGCTTGGTTATCCATGATAGGGGAAATACTTCAAGCAGGTTTATATATTTATCATATTTATATATTGCCTTTCTTCCCAACGGTGCTCAGGGTGATGTTATAACAAAACAGTGGGCAGCTAAATGTTAACACCAAGTTAGGCAAGCATACAGTGGTACCTCTGGTTACGTACTTAATTCATTTTGGAGGTCCGTTCTTAACCTGAAACTGTTCTTAACCTGAAGCACCACTTTAGCTAATGGGGCCTCCCACTGCCACAGTGCAATTTCTGTTCTCATCCTGAAGCAAAGTTCTTAACCCGAAGTACTATTTCTGGGTTAGCAGAGTCTGTAACCTGAAGCGTATGTAACTTGAAGTGTATGTAACCTGAGGTACCACTGTATCTCCGAAGGAAAGGATTTCCACAATGGAGGTGTCACAATCGAGAATCCCTTGTGCTGCATTATTGCACAACAGAACCTAGTCAATGGTATTTTTAAGGCATTCACCTAATTTGCAGTTTCCAATGTTATATGCCGATCACATGATAGTTGTCAAGTGGATTGTGCCCTTTCCCCAAATGTTGCAATGCCCATTTGGTTCAACACTATGCAACCACAATACAAAAAAGTGCATTTTATGGAGAAATGTATAGAGCAATGTGTGTCCGGAGGGAGGTAATGCATTAAAATCATGAATAAATGCATATTTTAGGTACAGAACTTGTATCTTAGGTGAAAGTGCATGCAAAAATGCATATAATCTTTATGTGTATGTTTTAAAGTCTGAAGAAAATGGGACAGAAGACATCAAGATTTAATACATCTGAAACTGACATGGAACTGAAAAATGCTGATCCCTCCATCTTTACTTGCAAGTACTTGTGCAAAAGTCTCAAGACTTAGACTGAAATCCTTCTCATGTTTCCAAATTAGCATTGAGAGAGTTGGAAATTTCATTGTGTTTTCCCAACGGCTTGCAAAAAAAATTACACAGAAACTAGTAAGTTCAATACCACAGCTTGCTAGTTCTACACAGTAGACATAATTTAATAAACAAACAATGGGATAACTTAATCCTTCACAGTTGTTTTAGCACTTTAAGTGTCATTTTCCATCCCCTCTCCCCAGCTGACAGAACACTTTGGAAAAACTCTCACTGCCTTACTAACCAAATCATTCCACTTCTTTGGAAGTAGGTTGATATTCAACATTAGTCATACATTGTAAGCCACTGGGGGTTATCCAAGGCTCCGACTCCACACGAAGACAGAGGAATACCATTGGGTGCTAGAGAAAAGGCAGAATTGTTCAACGCCTACATTTCTAAAAGGAAAACAGTGCCCAAACTGGTTTATAATGAATAAATGATGCAAGAAGAGAGTTACAGCCCAAGATAGGAAAAGAGGTGATAAGGCAACATCTAGCTACTTTAAATTAAATCTCCAGGGCCTGGTGTGCTGCACTCAAGGCTACTAAATAGCTTCCAGATGTCATCTCAGAGCTTCTGTCTATAATCTTTGAGAATTCTTGGAGAACAGGTGAGGTCTCTGCAGACTGGAGGTGAGCAAATGTTGTCCTCATCTTCAAAAGGCGGGGGGGGGGGGGCGGAATACCCTGGTAACTATTGATCAGTAAGCTTGATGTTGATACCAGAAAAGGTCCCACAACAGATAATTAAACAGTTGGTCTGTGAACACTTAGAAAAGGATGCTGTGTTTACTAAGACCCAGCATGGGTTTTTCCAAAACAAGTCATTGCCAGACAAATCTAATTTCAGTTTTGTACCCACTTAGCTGGGAGTAAGCCCCACTGAATTAAACGTGGTTCTGAATTAACATGTGTACCATTAGTGTTACGAGAGCTAAGTTCCAATCCTGCTGAAACCTCACAAGACTGGAGGTCAGTCCTCACTTTCTCACCCCTTATTTACTTGAAATTATTTATATCCTGCTGTTCTTTCCCAAGGAGGTCAGAGTGGTATACAATAAGAACAGTAAAAAGCAATACAATATAGCAGTCGATATGAAACAATAGGAGATAACACAACAGCCAAACGTATGAACAATGAGATGGCTGGCTGAGAGTTTGGATATTGCCATAGGAGCAGGAAGATCAAATAACACACTTCGGAAGGATCTGTATTTAGTTTTAAATGACTTACAGTCTTAAACCACCAACTCAATGATTCAGCTAATCATTTGTGGGAATACTCTCAAAGAGCCAGAGGATTGTGCAAGCGCAAAATTTACCTCCTCACCGGCACTTTCAGATAAGAACATATTTAGCAAATGATGCACTGGCTTTCTTTTAGTTTCCAGAGGCAATTACGCAGGAAGCTGCCTTATGCTGACTCAGGCCAGCGGTCGATCTACCTCAGTATTATCTATGACTGGTTGTGAATTGTCAGGGTGTCAGACAACAAGTCTTTCCTAGTCCTACCTGGAAATGCCATCAGGGAACGAAGTGTAGGCAAAGCAGATGCTCTCACACTGAGTCATGGCCCTGTCTCCTGTTTATTGTAGAATTTGTTGTTTCCAGCTTATAAAACACCAACCATACACTATGGGTGGACAGAGGCAAGAGAGCTTCAGTCCTCCCCATCCCTCCTCTCTTTCGGGAAGTTCTTTTCCAGAGCATACAAGATTTATGCTCATAGTGGCTTAAGCACTGAGTACTTGGTATCTAAACAATATGATAGCAGTACTGAATGACAACCCCAACACCAAATTTCTTTAACTGTTACTTAAAAAAAAAAAAGAATCTCAGTATTATTCTAATAGTTTTCTTGAACTGGCTAGCCCAGGCATAAGGGTGCATTTATAACACAGCAGTAGCTAATGTGATATCTTAGCCAACTTGATGCCCTCCAGCTGTTGTTGAGCCAAAACTCCCATCAGCCCCAGCCAGCATGCCCAATGATCAAAAGTTGCTTTGATTTGATATTTGTATTCCACTTTTCTGACAACAAATGTTGAGCTCAAACTGGCTCACAGTTATCACAATAGCATTAGAATGGGGGACCAATGTAAACAACCATAATATCAAACAAACTAACGTATAAATAAAGCAAATAACAACAATAAATTCATCAAAGCAATTATGCAATTCAGTAAAATCACAACAACTCAAAATATCAGAAAGAGCTGCTGAGCACCAGCCCTGTGCCAGATGACACTCTCTCTCTGGGAAGGGGCTTATTTGCTCAATACAGCAGGTAGCACACCCCCAGGCAATAACATCTTTCATAGTTTTAAACGTGACTTCTTTTTCACCCTGCTGCCAACCTTTTTGATCTGAGCCCAAGGCTGGGCCCAGTCCATCTCCACTTTCAGGCTCTGCTCCAGCTCACGCCTAATGGGAGTTGTAGTAGACAACCTGCTGGATGGCAACAAGTTGGCTACCTTGGCCCTAAACATAGCAAAAGGTGGTGGTGGGAAACCTCACAGCTCTGTCCAATGCTCCCCATCCCCTAGAAAAACAGGTGCCAGTACTCACCATAAAGTTGTTACAGTAAGTGCCACACTTTTTAACAACAACAAAAAGGAGGTGCCAGTACTACATACTATTGAGTACTGCCTGGAAAAAAGCACTCGCTCTATCCAACTCACTTGTTCTGACACTAAAAGACTCTTTGTTGGTACAACACTATATGAACTTCCTAGAAGTAAGCCCCGCTGAACTGAGCAAGACTTACGGGTGAGTAGACATGTTTAACATAAGTCTTGAAAGAAACTACAGATCTACACTTGAAATAGAAATATGGATCTAAGAAACAAATCTAGGACTATGAAAAGCATTTCAGGATTCTGCAAATTCCCATCTCCCCACCCACCTTTCACCTGTTGCCATAGTCAGATTAGACTACGAGGGTCCAATAAGGTGCTCTCCAGATAATTTGGTCTACAACTTGTTCATTGCTGATCGTGGGTCAGGGAGGAGAGTATTACATTAGTAACTCCTATGGTAGAACCGCTTACCCAATGGTAACAACTTCTGAACTTCTTTGTAATTATCTCTGTAGAGATACAACTGTACCATTTGTAGCTGCAAATGTTACTCTCTTCACTCCATTTCCTAGCAGTTGTGGGAGTGTAGCAAAGATTCATGCACATATGTCAGAAAGCTACAAATGAACAGCCTCCCACACAATTAGAGATGCTACTAAAAATAGCCACTATGCGGAAAGAGGTCATGCAATTCTGCCATGAGCCTAATAAGTCTCATGCTGTGCCACACAAAGGCAAGAAATAATGCAAGTGTGTCAGTGCTTAATAGCTAGTTCTGCACCAGTGCTGTGGATGGATGGGATCTCTACTTTTGTTGCCCCCCCCCCCAGTTTAGTTAACTCACAACCCAAATTGTTTGTGTTAGAATTAATAGCAAGGGTAGGGATCCTTTTCCAGCTCAAAGACTGCAGCCACTTGTGGGTAACCTGTGAGAAGTTACATGCCAGTGGTTGGTACAGCCAAAGGCAAAATGTGTGGTGCAAAGGGAATGACTCTTGCCTTTGTACCATGGGCTACATTCCAGCTATGCAAGTCTGCATATGCACCCAAATAAATCTCTCTCCATCCAGGCAACCAAGAGGCATCATCACAGTTCAAAGACACATTCCAGCCAAGCAACAGAATGTGGAACAAGGCCAGTGATATGTCTGAGGACGAGGCCTGCAAATTCACATTCAGCCCCTGGGATACAGGATTTCTACCCTGGCCCACAGGATGGCCCTGCAAAATTATAATATTACATATATAGTTTGAAACATAGGCACCA